TTGTATTGCTGAAGATGTGCACCACTCTTTCAGTTTTTAAGCCATCTGAAAGTTCAGGCCAGACAAATATTTTTCACCTGGCCTACCTAGAGAACCGAATCAAAATTACTTTGACCAAAAGATGCTATTTTGTTGTGATGTTTTAAGTACATCACTTAATATTTGTGTACTCCGGTTTCATGAACCTGTTCGCAGTTGTCAGAGTCAACTAAAGAATTAGAATTTTTGAAAAAGTTCAACTTCCCAAGACCATCTCTTCAAGTATGTCTTAGATCATCAAGACTGTGACAGACAATTCATCTTCCCTGTTCCTGCCCCCACATTTCCTTTTTCTCTAAGATTGTTTTTATTTTTGGTGGGGGAAGTAATTCTTTTTCCAATCTACAGTTTCCCTTGACCCTCAACTTGGGTCTTACAGGGAAAACACTGTGAAGGCTTGTGTCAGAGTGCAGTACTATGAAAATAGTCCAAGTGAATGGTGAGATTATCTGACCTCAAACTACCATTTCTCTTAACCCTGTTTTTTGTCTCTTCCTTTCTCACCCATGACCCCCTCGCCCATCTTTGCATCCGTTTCTTTTTCCTCGTGTGTCTCTGAAGGTGGCATGAATGCCAGCACTAACCTGAGAAAGCAAAACGTTTAAAAATCAATCAATCGCTAGAGAAGCAGGCAGGGTGCATCCAAGGACACCATGTGAGTTTTGGACATGGTTCTTCCCTTGAAGGGAGGTCCTGGTTACCAGTGTGAACAAGGTCTGCTTCCTGATGGCATCCTTTAACAAAACAAATCTGATCTTGCTAATTCCATAATTCAAATTGGTTTCCACGTTTTATTTCTAAATGTTGACTTTGTTTTCACTCTCATTAGCAAAGTCATCCATTTTAATTGTGTCCTGAAACTCTTTTGTAATGGTGACAGATGCCTCCATCTTTGAAGAGGGCATCAAACAGAACCCACGTTAGCACTTACTGAATTCGGTCTTTACCCACTTAGACATAGCCTGAAAGTTCAATTTTCAAAAATGAGAGTGTTCTGTGAGTTTATCCTGTGTAGACAAGGCCGGGCTCATCTTCTGAAAATGGCACTGTCTCCCTTTTTTACCTCCATAGTGAGTGGACTTTCTGTGGGCCCCATGAGCCCACACACCTGGCCGGCCCATCAAGGATTCGTATACTCTGGACTTGCCTTGAGCCCACCTCACTGCCCTCCTCAAAGGGCCTTCCTCCTCGTCATCTCCTTGCTTCCTGTCTCCTCAGGTCCTCTTTCCTTTCCCAGCAGGAAGCTGACCTCAGATGCCCCAACCCCACCCACTTGTCTCCACCCCGCGACGGCTTGCCGGAAGTTCCCCCTCTCTTACCGGAAGTTCCCTCCTCTCTTACCGGAAGTTCCCTCCTCTCTTACCGGAAGTTCCCGCCTCTCTTACCGCAGGGAGCGCTGAGTGGCTCAGCGTCTGCTTGCATTGTATGATGGCAGGTTCTGTCATGTTCGCCAAGGATCGCAGTGTCCACTGAATGAAGTTGTGAGGATGGAGGGAGACCCTTCCACTTGTTCCGGCAAAGGGCCATTAACTAACCACCTCCCCCTCCTCCTCTCGCAGGCAGCCCCTCACCCTGCCCCCCAAACAACCACAACCTTTTCCATGATGGCCTTTCTGTCACTTCAAAGCGTCTCCTTCCTCACTCACCGAAAGGGATCAAAGCCTCGCCCATTAGCCTTGGATACTCTTCATTTTTTGATGAAGTTAGCTGCCCAGAAATAACCTCTACTTTTTTTTTGGCTGTGCTGGGTTTTCAGCACATGGGCTTTCGCTAGTTGCAGTTTAGGTTCAGTTACCCTGTGGCGTGTGGGATCTTAGTTCCCTGAGCAGGGATTGAACTCACATCCCCTGCATTGGAAGGTGATTCTTAACCATTGGACAACCAGGGAAGCCCCAAGGACTAACCTCTACTTTTAGGTCAGAGATGAAAAAGAAGATATACTTTCAGTGGAATGGAATTTGCCAGGGGTGAGGAGGAAGCAGGGAGACGGGATTTATTGTTTAATGGGCACAGAATTTCACTTTGGGCAGATGAGAAAGCTCTGGAGATGGGAGATGGCTTCTGGGGATGGTTGCTCTACAGTGTAAATGTACTTAATGCCACTGAAATGCACCCTTTCAAGTAGTGGAAAAGGTAAATTTTGCCTCTGTATTTTACCACAACTAAAATATATATATATGTATACTTTCAAAAGCTGTTTGCAGTCATAAAACTACTGTAGTAGGAGGACCTGCATGGGTGCTAAGCCACTTCAGTCTGTCTGACTCTTTGTGACCCTATGGACCGTTGGTGGACAGCCCTGCATGGATTCATAGGACCTGGCTTTTATGCTATTTAGCATAAATAGTCATTCTTTACAAGACCAAAGAAGCAGAGTTGAGGTTTTTAAAAGCACGTTGCAGTTTGAGGGTTGAGTTGCATTCACCATCTGCATGCTTTGTCCTTCTAATCCCTAACCCTACTTACTTTGGTTGCTGTTTGTCATGGATATGAAACCCAGTTTAATTAAAAAGAGGCAGATAAATCCAGGGTGCTTGTGGTTATCCGTGGTTGGCACAGCTGACTTCTGGAACTAGTTAGTTGTTCACTCGGCTGTGTGAATGTCACCTTGTGTACGTCTGGAAGCTGACAAGAGTCGTGTTGGCCTGGCTAACCCTGCTCCTGAACAGTATGTTTTCCACTGTGATGTATTCAAGGGTCTGGAATGGCATTCACACACCTGGTGCCTGAAATCACACCATCAGAGTCATAGCTTCGTCTGACTTTGGATTCTTCTCTCTGAAGATTTTCTTTAAAAATGCAAACACACACACAATTAATAAATTAATACACGAAATAAATAGGATCTGTGACTCATTATGTCTACTTTCCTTTACACACATGTGCATGTGTGTGCATGTGCTAAGTCTCTTTAGTCATGTCCAACTTTGCAACCCTGTAGACCGTAGCCCACCAGGCTGTTATGTCCATGGGATTCTCTAGGCAAGAATACTGGAGTGTGTTGCCATGCCCTCCTCTGGGGCATCTTCCTTACCCAGGGATTGAACCAGCATCTCTTATGTCTCCTGCATTGGTAGATGAGTTCTTTACCACCAGCACCACTCGGATGCTGTAATAGTGGCTGAAATTTATGAACTGAGATGCACCCACCCTGGCTTTCATGTCTTAATTGGTTGAGCGCCTACTGTGTACCATGCTGTGTCTAAGGACATTGTTCCTGGCCTCTGGAGTCACAAGTCTGATGGGAGAGGCAGACCCGGACACACAGTGCTGGAAAGAGCTCTTGGAGTCAGAGGAGGATGGGACCGACACAAGGACGGGAGTTCATTGGGGAAGGATGTGGTGGTGATCCTGGGATGCGTTTTGAAAGGTGGACTCTGCCGGCTGGAAAGGTGGGAGCAGGGTCACGTCAGTTTGTTTTCTCTGAGCTCTTTCTGACCCCTGACAGAATGTCTGGGTGTCCTCATCAGAAGGTCATGGGGTGAGAGAAGCCTGTGGGCCCCTCAGGAGGTCCCCAGAGCGAGACCTCTGCCCGGAGCTCCGAGTGTTCTCCCAGGCTCTTCAGGGTCATTGCTTCCAGACAGTTCAAAGAGAAGGGGGAGGAATCCTTAAGACAAATTTAGCCTACCTGATCCTTATGCCTGGGGAAGGCCTCGCTCTTAGACCAGCTTCCAGTGCATTTGTCTAATCCCTTTGTGGAAGGAATTAAAATGCAACAGCTAGACATTGGCTTTATTTTTATCTGAAACCCCTTCACCATCATTTGAGGACAATTATATTGTTTTTTGTTGTGTTCACGTTATTGTTTACAATGTAACTTGCCTCAGCTCTGGAATCTTCTTTCCATGGTTCAGAGCACAGATTCTGGAGCCAGACTGCCTGGGTTCATATCCTGGCTCAGTCACAAGTTAAGCACTCCCTGCCTCTGTTTCCCCAGTATAAATGGGGATACTTACAATTTCTACTCCACTGAGGTTTTATGGGGGCTTCCCAGGTGTCGCTAGTGGTAAAAAACCAACCTACCAATACAGGAAACTTAGATGTGATCCCCAGGTCAGGTCAGGAAGATCCCCTTGGAGGAGGACACAGCAACCCACTCCAGTATTCTTGCCTGGAGAACCCCATGGACAGAAGAGCCTGGTGGGCTACAGTCCATAAGGTCATAAAGAGCTGGGCACAACTGAAGTGACTTAGCACGTACACATGAGGGGTTATGAGGCTTCAGTGAGTTGGTTACAAAATATTTACAGCAAGGTGAACAGGGAGCATTTAATATATCTTGGCTGTTATTCTCCACTTCCTGCAGAGCCCCTAACCTGAGACTGTTCTAATTAGAATGTAGAATAAGTACCATATCCTCCAGTGAGGCATTCAGAATTTACCAGGCAGTCAAAACATTCCATGAGGGTCAGTGGGTCTGTTCCAGACCCTGGTAATAGATACAAAACCTAGTTCATTGTGGCCCCTCCCTGGGGACCTCCAGCCTTGTGAGAAAACGAGATCGTATCTATACCTTCACAGTGACGATTCCTGCATTTTGCACAGTGCTGACTCCCAAACAGTCTTCACAGCCTCTCAATAGGTCCCTGGAATATCCTACAGGATAATAAGTGTTTCCACTAGGAAACACTGCCTGCTGGTTTGATTGTTCACTGGTACCTGTGCAGTGGCTTCCCTGATAAAGAATCCACCTGCCAGTGCAGGAGATGCTGTTTTGATCCTTGGGTCAGGAAGATCCCGTGGAGGAGGAAATGGCAATCCACTCCAATATTCTTGGACAGAGGAGCCTGGCGGGCTGCAGTTCATGGGGTTGCAAAGAGCTGGACACGACTTAACGACTGAACAGATAGGGTCCTCTGGTGATGTTGAGTTTATCTAGAGGGGAACCAGTGTGTATGTGGGCTTGATTTTCCTTCAGAAAGGATGGTTTGTGACCAGGTCCATGTTTGTGTGCATCTTAGGTTTGGAGGAGACCAGCCTGTCTACATCAACATCATCAGAGATCCCGTCAACCGGTTTTTATCCAACTATTTTTTCCGTCGGTTTGGAGACTGGCGAGGAGAACAGAATCACATGATTCGCACCCCCAGCATGAGGCAGGAGGAGCGCTACCTGGTGAGTCTTGTTGCCTCAAATATGTGGTCCCCCACCCCCGTCGGGGTCATCTGGTCCTTGAGCTCCATGTGATGAAGGCACCACTTCAGGAAGCAGGTTTTTGCCAGTGAAAAATTAATTTTCCAGATCATTCAGATCCAAACATTTTCTCAAATGACTTTCTAATTGTGTTTTCCTCAGTTTTTCTTTAGTGTTGATTTCATGTCCTGGAGAAGAAACAGTCTTTCCCAGGGAATCCTGACCAGCACTATTGTTTCGGTACATTTGGGGATTTCTCTTAAAAGGTCACAGAGTACTTACTCACACCTCATCCCACGACAGCTCCATGAGGGAGGGGTACTTTGAGATGAGGACCCTAAGATTCCAAAAGAATGTGAGCACAACCATGACTGACTGTTTCCAGGTCCTCTTACTCAAGTCCAAGGTTCTTTCCACCACAGCGCAAGAGAATCAGGCATCTCAGTGAAATTTGTTGGCTTTTCTGGACCTTATTTTGGGACCCTCAATGTCAAAGGGATGTTGATTTTGATAGCAAGAGTTGCTTCCACAGCTTGGAGTTGGTAACAGATGAAAGTAGTGCATCTTATCGTCAGCTCCAGAATAAAAGATGTATTTCCCACTAGTTTGTGACCTAGATTGACAAATGCTTGCTGAAGACTTAGAGCCTGGTGTTAAAGAGGTTGAAACCCTGGCCTCTGTGTCTGTAGGAGCCTCTTGGGTTCACCCGGACCATCCTGGGCTCTCAGGCCCAGAAAAGAGAGAAGAATGTGTGGATGGCTCAGTGCAAATCTGCCTCCACTGCTGGCCTGCAACACAGAGGCCATGCCCACCACTGGTGTGTGCACAGAAGCATCCTTGAGCTAAAGAGGAGTAGTGTTAGTTACAGTTCCAGCACAAGTTCTCTTTCCTCATTTGATTTTAAAAAGCATAAGGACAGTATGTGTTTGGAGGATAGAGCATTTTTCAACAATATCACTTTCAAGTCTTAAAATCTGCAGTTAGATTTGAGAAAACTGAGATGCACAAAAGTATCTTATCGAATGCTACACAGCTAGTTATAGATGGGCCGAGACTAGAAACAAAGGCTTTTTACTGGCCATTCAGCATTTTTTCAACTACCTAATGCTTCAGGAAAGTATTCTGATGATATATTTTTAAAGTGGCTTTTACTTTTTTTCTCTTTCCATTATGATGGCAAAAACTCTTCTTATCTTTTCCTTTATGTTATGAATATGGCTCTATATTTTTTATTATGACAAGCACATAGTTTTTATAATGACGAGTAGATATTCAGAGTATAGAACCACTTAACTAGAGGAATAATGTCTTTATTGTTTGTATTGGACCCGATTAGCCTGTTATGTTTTTTGAAAACATAGAGCATATTCCGTGTAATCAAAATATCTTGCAAAGTTTCTGGTTCAATCCGATACTAGTGAGAACCAAGTTAGTCTCTGTCACTTGAGCCCATCATAGTCTTATGCCAAAAAACCAAAGATTTGAAAACAAGTTTTATGAATCCTACTCTTCAAACATTAATGTAGGTAAGAAGTAAATTCATAGTCTACCAGAAGGTGAAAAGTGATCAGGGAAAGTGAAGGGGCAGTCCCAGGGACCCATCATGTGGGCAGAGGGTGGTGGCGGGCAGGGAATCGGCTGCGATGTTAATAAGCAGATCAGGGGAGGCATTGGATCTGACATGTCAGCAATGATTAGAATGAGAGATAGAGTTGACCCCACAGTTGGCTGGGAGAACGCCGCCCCAGAGCGAAAGCTTGGAGTGGGCACTTGTGTGTGTCATTCAGAAGCCAGCAGGGAAGAGGGGGGTGGCTAGTAAAGAGTGAGAGGTGGGGGCAGGGAGGCGGCAGGAGGTGAATTTGGAGAGGTAAGTCTTAGAGACCACGCACCATATAAGGCCCTGTGAGTCGCTGTTATAACTTTGAATTGAGAAGTAAAATGAATAGCTCCAAATCATGCCCACCTTTTTTTTTTTTTGAAGTATAGTTGATTTACAATGTTGTGTTAATTTCTGCTGTATAGCAAAGTGATTCATTACACACACATATATATATATACATTCTTTTTTGATATTCTTTTCCCCTGTGGTTTATCATTGGATACTGAATATAGTTCTCTGTACTATACAGTAGGACCTTGTTGTTTATCCTCTCTATATATAATAGCTTACATCTGCTAACCTCCCATTCCATCCCTCCCCCACCGCCTTCCCTTTTGGCAACTACAAGTTTGTTCTCTATGTCTGTGAGTCTGTTTCTCTTTCACAGATAGGTTCATTTGTGTCAAATTTTAAATAACACATAAGTGGTTATCATATGGTATTTGTCTTTCTCTTTCTGACTTACTTCACTTAGTTTGATAATCTCTAGTTCTAGCCATGTTGCAGCAAATGGCATTATTTCATTCTTCTTATGGCTGAGTAGTATTCTATTGTATACATGTATCACATCTTCTTTATCTATTTCTCTGTCGATGGACATTCAGGTTGTATCCATGTTTTGGCTATTGTGAATAGTGCTGCTATGAACATAGGGGTGCATGTATCTTTTTGGATTAGAGTTTTGTCTGGATATATGCTCAGGAGTGGGATTGCTGAATCATATGATAATGCTATTTTTAGTTTTCTGAGGAACCCCATGGTGTTTTCCCTTGTGGATGCACCAACTTACCAGCCAACATTCCCATCAACTCTAGAATGGTTCCCTTTTCTCCACACCCTCTCCAGCATCTGTTATTTGTAGACTTTTTAATAATGGCCATTCTGACTGATGTGACGTGGTACCTCATTGTAGTTTTGATTTGCAATTCTCTAATAATTAATGATTCCCTGGTGGCTCGGTCAGCAAAGAATCCACCTGCAATGCAGGAGACCTGGGTTTGATCCCTGGGTTGGGAAGATCTCTTGGAGAAGGAAATGACAACCCACTACAGTGTTCTTTTATGGGAAATCCCATGGACAGAGGAGCCTGGTGAGCTATAGTCCATGGGATCACAAAGAATTGGACTCAACTTAGCAACTAAACCACCACCCCCAATAATTATTAATATTGTGCATCTTTTCATGTGCCTGTTGGCCTTCTGTATTTCTTCTGTGGAGAAATGTTTATTTAGGTCTTCTGCTCATTTTTCTATTTGTTTGTTTGTTTTTCTGTTGTTCAGTTGTATGAAGTGTTTGTATATTTTGGAGATTAAGCCCTGTCACAAACTATACACATCTTAATCAGTGATTCTTTCTCCTGAATCTCCTCTAGAAAGCTGAGCCTGCCTCCCAGCAGGGGTTGCATCATCTCACAAGCCCACAAACACCCTCAGCAATTCTCTCCCTTTTTTCTGGGAGTCAGGACTCCTCCCTCCTGCTCTAGATGTATATCTGTCTGAAGCCTTGGTTCTTATTCTGAAGTCTCACAAGCATTCTCACACTCAAAGTTTCCAGGGGATTTGATTGAAAATAGGGTCTGTGGGAGAGAGAGACCTTACAGTTGTGCAGTGCACAACCTACACAACTGTACATGGATGTTCTAATATTCTTCACTGCTCCCACCAACTGCTGGTTATGTCATTTCTCTGGGTGATATAATATCTTCACATTTGTCCTCTCCTCCCAATAGCCAGTAAGATCTTTGAGAACAAGGTAAGATCAGAGTTCCCTCTCTGTCCCTGGTATTCAGAAGAGTGGCTGAATTAGTTGTTGTTGTTCAGTGGCTAAGTTGGGTCTGACTCTTTGTGACCCTATGGACTGCAGCACACCAGGCTTCCCTGACCTTCACTATCTCCCGGAGTTTGCTCGAACTTATGTCCATTGAGTCAAGATGCCATCCAACCGTGTCATTCCCTGTTGCCCCCTTCTCCCCCTGCCTTCAATGTTTCCCAGCATCAGAATATTTTCCAGTGAGTCAGCTCTTTACATCAGGTGGCCAAAGTATTGGAGCTTCAGCTTTTTTTTTTTTAAGCCCATAAAATGTTGAAAGCTGGTAATGGATATAAGTCTTGCATTTTTGAAGAGCCTTTATGATATGAGAGATTCTGGGGAAATTCCCTGCCTGGAATTCTACCCTCAGAGATTCGCAGGGACCCCCATTCCACACGTAAATCACTGTGTCCTAAGAAGGGCCCATGTCGGATGAGCTTGGCTCATTCCTTGGCTGGGCCCCAGCGGGAGAGCCCTGGGCTCCCCCAAAACAGCAGAGGGAGAATCGGGGAGCAGAGAGTGGGGAGGGCCCGGGACACATGACTCCTTCATGATCCAGCTCCAGTCTGACCCCATTAGGAGGCCATTCTCTTGTTCAAAGGATGGTTTGTTTATTTGGAAGAAGCCAGTGTATTGCCTTTTTTTTTTTTTAATAGCTGAAACTTTTTATTCCCTCTCCTCGATCCCATTAGACCCTTGGAATAAAACTGCCCCCTTTCAGAGCCTGTCCTCATTTTGTCAAGCCTGGGTGGTCAGTTGTTTCACTCAAAAGAGGGTGTTGTTTGTGTCTCGCTGGGGTGCAGGGCAGCTGTGAGGAGGCTGGGTCCCCTCAGCGAGGCCCTGCCTGGGGATGAGGGCCCGAGAGGGGAGGCCGGCGAGCCCAAGTGGGCAGGCAGGGCAGCCACCCCCTCGGGGACTGAGCGGCAAGGCTTCTCGCTGCTCGCACACGGAGTCACAGGCGCTGGCCTGAGACGGGGCCACTGGTGTCCCCACTTGATTCCAGACCCCAGTGCTCGCTCCAAAGCCCTTTGCTTTATCCAGTTGCCAAAAATAAGGCAGTTCTGCTCCTGGCTGTGGGCCTTGCAGAGCTGCTTAGCATACAGCTGAGAGAGGGTGGGGGCTTGGGGGCTGAAATATTATCATCTGTGATGCCAGCTAGTTGGGAAGAAATGGAAATAGGCACAGGGATCGTAGGGTTCCTGAAGGTCCGTCGTGAGGAGCCTCTCTTCTCTGGGATGCAGAACGGGGCCTGGGTCTAGTGATGGGCTAGGTGTCCAGTCCAGCATAGAAGCCA